TGGGAGGTCTCGTCCAACTCAGCACACGTTTCAAGTGTTGAAGTAGCCAAACAATGGGCTCACTTTGTGCAGATTTGTTTGGAAATGCACAAAAGCGGTCGTCTGTTAGGTTGTTCATTTTGGTTTCAGTAAAATGTGAAGCAGTGTGGAAGCCTAATTTGAAGCTGACTCAGCTGGGTGTTCATGTACATCAAAATCATTCAAGGAAACCGAGAAACATGTTTTATGCGTCGTTTTAAAAATGGAAACATGCAGAAGCTACTTATTTAACTTACGCAGGTAAAAACCACAGTCAGATGAGCACTTTTTCATTAAATGTGTCAACAAATCAGACAAATCAGACATTGGTGTTTGCGCAATGGACAGCGAACTTCCATGTCACCTACGTTGTTATGATGGTAATGGAAATGCATGCGCTATTGTCGCATGCATGTAATAGCGGTAGCCAATGCAGCACATTATAACATTTGCAACGACTAGCACACACAATTAAAGTGACTTGCGTCATGTACTTCGTAGCAGTCCTCTGCAGCAGCAAGTCGAATGTGCTTCGAATATTTCCGCCTGCGTTTTCGAGTTGCAAGTCATCAGAACGCACACTGCGTGATTTGCCCCTTCTACCCCGAAAGTTGTGTAAGAGATATTTGTGCTGAAGCACATGGCATTGAGCGCCTTGAGTTTGTTTGAAATAACGGTTACAGAGTTTTAGCTTATTGTGTATACCACATATTTTAGACGTTAATCATTTACGTGGCCTGCTGCTGCCACTTTGTTCACGTGTGCCCAGATGACAAGTCGCATTGGTGATTAATTACAAAACATCAATGCCTCTACCTGAGGAATTGACTTTTCAGGTTGTAAGATTTCAAAATGACTCTCTCCTTTGGCGCTTCGATGATAAATAAGAGTTTCCATATCCCACGTCTCCACGTCTTGCATTCTGAACTTTGAAGATTTAATTTCTATGGATTGAATACGTTCACAAACCGGTTAAAATCGCTGCTTACTCAGTTGTGATGTGTACCCAAATCTTTAGCACCTCTTCTTGGCAATGCACTTTTACTATTTATTCACGCTCGGTTGTAAACAAAATTGCAATTTCTATTCTACTAGGTCGCATGTAATCCACTGACGAGCGCCTTTTACGGAGTGTTAAATTTTATTGCGAATTGCGCTCTCACGGTTCCAACAGTCTGTCTACTTCCACCTAATTATCCTCAGAGCTTGAGAAACGCAATTACTGTTGCGGGGTTACACGAGTGTCTCAGGAACCAAAGCCGTGGCAGCCTTAATTCTCTATGCGGAGAAAGTAAAGAGGTATGTATTTGTAGGTCGGAGGATTTTTGGTTTGTGGAAATAGTCAACGCGTGTCGCGTCTCCCCGAATGATGGTTTCCCTGTACGAAAAACGACACGAAATTGAACCACGTCAGGATCACAATTTGAGCATGTTGCGATAACTGAAATATCAGTGGATTGGTGTTGCTGGAAACGGTACATATAAACGACGTTTAAAGCCAGCAGCGAAAACAACTTAGGGGTATTCTGGTGAGGACCACTGCACTGGAATTAAACGGATACTGCGGTGTTGGTGACCTCGCTGCTCACCTAAAGACCTATTTGCAGTATTCTAGCTTGCAGTCACTGTCTTCTGCTAAATGCTGAGACGTCCATGTTAGCTTGGAACTGTTGCTTTACTGTTTTACACGTCATCAATTCTCCTAGGCCAGCGCCTGTGTCCCAAGTTGCATTTCGCATGAAAGTTAGGGATCGTCTTTCGTCTCCCCATGTTTAGTCTCTTCTTGACGCTGCCATCAACCTGAAGAATCCTTCGAATGCTGATGCCGACAAGTCAGCAGCCAGCCGTAGTAAGACGGATTTTCTTGGCTCAACGGAATGTGGACCCCCTGTTCCAATCCTCTAGGTCGCGTTATCTGTTGCATTACAACCCCTGTTAGAGTCATGTCGAGCTACCAGTTATCCCTCCAGTCACCGATACGCCACTGTTCTTGGCACTTCACAGTCAAGTCGCAAGTCAAGTTCTTGGTACTTCACAGTTTGTCCTCAGTCCTGCGGAGTTTTAGTTTGACTTGTTGATAAGTCCCTCTATGGCATTGCACTACTTCTAGTACTCCCGAGCTAGTTTTAGGTGCGAATCTTCTAGTGGCATTAAAACCTTAAGAAGTTGTTTGAGAATGCTTGCGTTGCTGTTTGCGCTCCCACCCACAACGGCTGAGGTGAAAGCTCAAGACCCAATGCTCTTGTAGCTGGACCCGGTGCGGTTTTGGAAACCACACCAGCGCTAGACCGAAAGGAAGAAGAAAAGTGCAGGTGGATGCCACAGTTGTGTGCATGTGTGTGATGTTCAAGAATGCAAGAAAGCTTTTATAGAATCTACTAAACACCGATCCCTAAACAAACACCGTTACGTGAATCGCAGTTACGTAAATCAATTAAACCATATTCATCCACGCTTGTTACTAGCGTTAGCTCACGATTACTGTGTTCGTCTGATTATTGCCACAGCTCTCCTTCTTGGCAAATGGGTTGGAAGAGAGCGCTTGAGAGTAGAGAACTGAAGCGAGTTAAGAGAAATTGGAAATGCTGTAAACTAGG